GGATTGCAAACAACTTTAAGGTGCATACCGCCACCTCCGGAGTCGGCTTGACTCGGTTTGCATTTATAAAGAATGCACACATGTGTTTAATCGTTAATGTCAGATATGTACTAAGTAAATACATTTGTTCCTGCTCAAGATTAGATTAAACTTTATTGTTATTGCACATATTACAGGTACTGAGACAACGAAATGCAGTTTAGCTTCTAACCAGGTGCAACAAGCAGTAAAGTGAAAAGTAATGCACACAATAAACAGAATAAAATATAGAATGAATTGAATGATGAATAAACAGTGAGGGGTATGAATACACTAGATATCAGCCTGTGAGCAGTATGAACAGTGTGTATGAATATGCTAAGATATATAAAGTATGAAAACGGTAAGCAGTGCAAGTATAGTATACAATATACCAGCGAGATACCAGCGAGTCGTTTCCCATCAAGCATTTCGCTTCCGCAGCCCGTGGAGAGGAACTGCGCCGCCTCGCCGCGCCTCGCTCTCAAGGCTGCGGGCGTCTTTGTCCCGCGAGATTTCAACGTCTCATGTAGGCGGGCCTCCAGAACAAGTCGGACAAAATGACTAACTATCATGCAACGCACTAGCAAGACGTTGATCGCAACTGCGCAGGTCTCGCTTGTCTCAAACAAGCCTACTCTAGAGCAGGGGTAGGCAAGTAAGTTTGGCCGTGGGCCAATTTTTTGCTGAGCCGCAAGATGGCGGGCCAGAACATAATCAAAGCCTAATTCAAGGAATTGATTTTGGTAAGAGGGCGCAGCGCCCCTGTTCTCCAGTTGAGAAAAAACTCTATCGCTGATGACCCTCCCCATCAACACTCTGATGCGCAGTCAGATCCGCTGATTGGTTCACTGATGATATAGGCGCCCAATCCAGAGCCTCTGGCTAGACCCGCCCAAAGGGAGGCTCGTCCTCTCTAGCCCCATTTCAGTCCCAAAGCCAGGGCTATTATCTGTATTTTAACAGACTTATATTTTAAATTGAGGTGTATTTATTGTTCTCTTCAAAGTTTATTTTTCTCTGAAATTTTAGGGAGGATGGTCCTCCCTTTCCTCAATGGACGAGCCTCCACTGAGTAGAGTTATTAACTAGGTAGCAGTGTTATTTAACATGTTATTCTGATAAGTGTCAAGTTCTCTGGTTTTTTGGCATTTATTTGAGTGTTTGCACATTTGAGAGGCTTGAGGGGCAACAGAGGACGCATGGACACTGGCAACTGGAATCCTTTTTCCTTTTCTTTATTTAAACTTTTCAAGGACACATTAGGATTCTTTCAGGTTGAAAACCTTTAAAAAATACCAAAGGACAAAATAAATCAATTACAGCATTTTGCTTTGCAATTTAATATATTATAACCTAAATTAATCAGTAACCAAGTATTTTACTCAAACTCAATGTATTTAATATATAGTTAAATAAGTACTTTAATTGACCTGGTTCCCCCCAATTTGCCATATGTGACCCGCTCTATCGAAGTCGAAAGTCGCAACGGCTCATTTCAAAATAAACGTGGATATGCGTAAAAAACTAGTTTTTCGGGGTTCGGGTGTTTTGTTTGATTTTAAATAAACAAAGTCTTGGCTTTCAGAATATGACATTTTTATTTCCAAAATCACACGATAAATACATGTTTGAAGCTTGTAAAGGGAAGATGACAGCTCTCCCTCGCCACTCTGCTCTTCCACAGCGCCGCTTCCCCTCCCTCCGCTGACATTATGAATGTAAGCGGATATTTCGGGACAGAATTTATTTTACCGTAATTTGAAACTTACCGGTCATGTTTCAATAATAATAATAAAATGATTCCACAAACAACAAACAACATAATTATTACATTCAAACAAACTACTTGTAGTAGATGAAGTACATTATTCAAAAGTTTACATTAACTTTCAATAATAACACGGGAGAAACGAATGCTCTCTTTTCCCCTCTCCCTCCCTCTCTCTCTCTCCTGACAGCCCGTCAGTTTCACAAGCAGCTCGCTAAACAGTGGGCGGGGCTTCAGGTGATTATGCAGAGCTGCATGTCTCCGTCAGACTCAGCAGCTGATCTGATCTCTCTCGGTCCGGTTATACTTCACTCGCGTTATCGATCAGATCCAGCTCTCCTGATCGGCCTTTATAGAGAGCACCGATCAAACTATTAATAGTGAATATCGGCCGATAGTGACCGGCGGCCGATCAATCAGCGGCTTTTATGTTGTAAAAAAAAAAAAATAATAAAAAATCTCAAAATAATATTTTATTAGTGATTCTCAAAATTACGGGCCAAATATTATTGCTGGCGGGCCAACAATGGCCCGCGGGCCGCCTGTTGCCGACCCATGCTCTAGAGGCTTCTCAATACTCAAATTTCCCCTCCTCGACTCCTCGGTCCTCCGGTAGTGACCCGGAAATGAATTTCAGCACGCCATTTTTGAAGGACATCTCATTTCTCTAAATGCACACCGAGGACCGAGGATCGAGCGTCGAGGAGGCTCTCTGGAGGAGCTCTAACCGAGGATACACTGATGGTTCCTCCACGGCTCCTCCGCGGATGCATTTCCGGGAACGGTGGAGGCGTGACGCACGGCCGGACTTATCTCAGCCAATGACAGCTCTGCATGCATCCCCTGGATATTATTTTAGAAACTGCTTTCATCGCGTCGCGATGTTTCCAGAGAGAACAGCTGTGAGGTCTGTGCAGAAAGCAGAGCAGTGTGTATAATATATATCACTCAGTATAACAGGCCTACTCTCTTTATTTGCTTTAGTTTAGTAGATATCTACAAACAAAGAGTCGATATTTTTCTAAGACCATTGCTTCACATAATAAAATACACAACGGCTTATGCTTTAGGAGCTGTAGGTGTGTGTGGTACAGTGTGTAGGTGTGTGTCTGGTACAGTGTGTAGGTGTGTGTTGTACAGTGCGTAAATGCGGCGGACAGACGGGTCTCAGTTGGTTTGGTGTCCTCTGCTTACTTTTAATAGGCCTACTTGTAAATAAAACTTTTGGCCCGTAATTTCAATTCCCCATTTCAGCGACCAGAGAGAGAGGGGGGGGATATATCCAGTCTCTGATTGTGTTACGTTATTATGAGAGTGCTCTCATACTTTAAATTGTATATATTTATATAAATATATTTGTGTGTGTGTGTCCGCATCTGTAGCCTGTTATTGTCTCATTATACCGCACTCTCAATGAATTCAAAGTAAATATGTGGGGGAACAATGTTCAGCTGATCTAACAGAGATACAGCGCTATACAAAATACTCGACAGCTGATGCAGCTGTTGCCACGTAATAATGAACGGACGTCTCTTTAAAATGACCGCTCAGAGGAGAGGAGTTCTCATTTCTTTAAACGTCTGCTGCTTCCCCTCCTCTCTCCTCGGTTCCCCTCCTCGGTCCTCCGCTCGCATCTCCTGTGGGCGGGTCTAAGTCTCGAGGAGGGGAACCGAGGAGGGGAAATTTGAGTATTGAGAAGCCTCTTCTGTGCCGCGACTTTGTCAGTCAAGCCAGTGCCACCACTCTCACACACACTCGGTCTCTCGCCTTCACTTCCTGCCAACTTCAACCCTTGACTTTCAAAATAAAACACAATATTTATAATTATACATTTTAGTCTTTTAAACATATGTATTACACTTTCCCTTTTTAAACCGTTGTGAAATATCTTTTAATCGTTATCTTTGCATGAACTAGATATTTTAACAACACTTATAACTAAATGACATATTTATTATCTTGTTTTAATTTCACTGTAAGGGTTATTTTCAACCTGGTTACACAGAGAAACAACAATAAACACAAACCCACAGTCAAAACAATTAGGCAAATATTAAAAACGGAACAACGTATTTAATCAATTCTGCATGGGTATCAAATATAAAATCAAGATTTTATATTATCTTAAATACAAAACACTGCGTAATCTGATACATTTTAACTGTATCATACATAAAAAATATATCAGACAGTCATTGGAGAGTGAGGAAATCCCAGAGGTCAGCCATCTTGGCCCATCTGCTCCTGTAATGATGGCGGGGTTTTCCGTTCTTTGAAAACACTGGTAATATCCAGGAACCAGCTAAATGCCAGTAAGTGTTAACCTGGAGTTTTATTTATGAGATCATCACCTCCAAACTACAGCTCTTAGGCAGAATGTGAAAAGTGTATGCATCCTACTCTAGTCTTAAACTCAGTCAAACCAGACAATACACCTCACTCTAGTATCCATACTCTTATTAAATGTTGACCTTTACAAACAACTTGTTATTTGATTATTGACCTCCAACCACAATGGTAATTGTTCTTAATATTCTTTGATTAAATAAAGGTTAAACATATTATGACAATAATCCTTTGGTCTGCTGTAATCTGAGTCTGTGTGTGTATGATTATGTGTGTGTGCCCGGGTCCATCATTGCCTTTTTAATGAGATGTCAAACAGTAGTCATGGACGACATGAAGGTGTCTAAAACTAAAACTGTATTTTGTTGCAGTTAGAATAAGGGGTAACACTTTACAATAAGACTACCCTTTTAAAGTGTTTGCGAATAGTTTGTAATTCATTTATTAATTAGGTTGTGAACACTTTATAAATCATTAATAAGCTTTTATAAGACATGAGATAAACAGGGCACCTGTGACCGGTTGCTTGCCAAATAGTGAGCCCACATTTATCTGTACTGCTAAGCCTTATATTGGCTACTTAGCTTACTTCATCTTCTTCATCAGCCAGCATCCTGGTATCTGTTGTTCACTGAGTTGATTTGACCATGTATGAATGAGTTACTAACATTTATAACTGGTAAAAGGGAGCCTTATTATAAAGTGTGAAACACATCACCATTTATTAATGAGTTACTACCATTTAACTGGTAAAAGGGTGCGTTGTTTTTAAGTGTAATACACATGTCCAGTTATGAATGAGTTATAACATTCACGCTGACCTAATACACATTGTTCACATGAAATGCAAAGTAAGATGCAACAGAACCAAGCAAAACATTTTATTCACACATGAAGAAAATTAGGACTCAAAGTAATGACTGTTTATGACTGATACACATATTTAAATATAAAAGCTTTTCTCAGACATGAATTAAAGACTTGGTAAGAAATAATGGTACTCAGACTGGAAAGGCTTTATGTATATTCTTGAACAAGCGTCCAAGCAGTCCATCAGGGTGAGCAGAGACAAGCCAAGACCATTCAAGGACCTTGAGGTGTTCCTCCAACAAACTCTCTGTACGGTTTCCTCTCAGTCTACGGACATGTCCTTTGACGGTCGACCAAGCTCTTTCTATATGTTGGGTATGACTGCCTTCTGGGGGTTCACACACCACCTGCTGTGGTTTATGGTGTAGTGGTTGTACCCCATGTTACTCAGCACTCTCCTGTATGCCCTCCACTCATCACTAATAATGCTACTTCCTGACTTAACATGCCATCTAATCAGAGGGACAAGGTGGCATCTTGATCGTTTCTCCACTAGTTTTAACACTAGTCTCCGCTTTTGCCTTTAACTCCCATCATTCCGAAGACCCATTTCTTCCTTCTCCAGGTATGTCCAAAGCGTCCACGTGCATACTAACAAACAATAAATCATAACATCATCTTAGTTAACAACAAAATGCACACAGGTGACAGTAACAATGGTTTCACATCATGTTTCAAAATTCCATACTTGTTTATTAGGTGCATTGTATAACATAAGGATAATTATATAGTAATGGTCCACATATTTTATTTTTTATTTTTGTATTGTCTTGTACAAGAAAGCCCATCTCTAACTGCTGAACATAGGAATACTCAAATAAAATAGTTTACTTTATCAGCATTGGTGTTACCCATGCTTACTATTTATTTGATACCAATTTGGTAATACAATTAATAAAAAGAACACGGTTTGGGTTCGTTCCTTAGATATGACTGTGACGTTAACGTGCAAGCTCAATAATGAACTCCATGCTCAACCAACCATAATGTAATATCTAAGTAATCATCTTGAAATATGACATTAATATTTGTAATATACACACATCTTATTGTGAGGTTGATTTCACATACACTAGGCCGCTCTTCAACACTACTTTGACGTTAGCTTGTCTACATAATCGATCATAGCAAATTTAAATGAACCTTATCAATGCATAAAGTTACCTACCTAATAAAATATCTCTCTAATTTACAAGGATTACTTTATTTTACCAACCTCAAACATAATCCGTTTATTCTACAGTATTGTCCCACTTAATGCTTGACACTTCTCTATTACGTTTTAACTTGGAGGCTACGATTAGCATTGTTAGCACAGTTGTAGCTACCACTTGCTTACTACATGCTAACCCAAGCCTTAACATTCATTAACGTTAGCTGACTAAAAACATAAGCAACACATCAATAAAGTACTCGAATTTCACTCACCGTAAAACTGCATTCATGCACCGTCTGTTTTAAACGCGGAGAGAGTCACAATAGTCCGATCTAAGCATGAAGAATAGTCCACAAGGCACCAGCACAACAAACACGGCAGAGTTCAAGTTATGTTCCCCGGATGAGTTGAGCAGGCATCACGGAGACAGTGTTGCCAACTCCATAGTAAGGAAAGTAGCTATTGGCTGTCCGAAAAGTCGCCAGAAGTCGCTAAATGACGTCATCGCCTAATTTGCATATCATGTAATGGCGGCTGTAGGCAAAAAACGTTCCCAACCCTTCAAGGATCAAAACTTGAAACCACCGGAGTTAAATCCAGACGACAGTAGATCAGAAATGTCTTTGCCTTTTGAGTATGTTTTGGGGTTTTAACATGACAGTTTGGCATAGAAATCCCCCTTACAATAAAGGCAGTATGCCCGTGTGTCATCTCCAATAAATGGCTTCAACCATCCTTTATACTCAGGGTTTGATTCCCACTCCTTTCTGTATTTTTGAGAATACAATTTAGACTGTGCCATGATGTTTAGCTTGTTACAGAGAGGCACACACACAGTGGACGAGGTGATTGACACGCCCAGCTTCAAGCTTTTTCGACGCCTGTAGTGTAGACGGGCCGTGAGGCTGTGTGAGGCAAAGCAAAGGCAGTTATTTATTATAGTGTGAAAGTGAGTGAAGAAACATTTACATTCAACATTTAAATCCCGCTCAAAACCAGGACGGCTTGGCAGTTGGCGCATGCGCAATTCATTTGCAGTCTCGACGCGGGGGAGTGTGGTTGTCTCCTCTCTGCTCTGACTGCAGCAGCAGCTCTGCTGCGACCAGGCAACTGTCATTCTGAGCGCCTGTGAGTACTATGGGAGGGAGGCGGGGCTCACGGCAGCACCCGCGGCTCGTTAACTGCAGAACAATGTGAGTCTCCAAACACCAGAAAAGTCGCTAATAACACCATTATAAATCGCTAGATTAGTCGTTAGTCGCTTTTGACACAAATAAGTCGCCAGAGGGTTTGGAAATCCGCCAAATTTAACGAGAAAATCGCCAAGTTGGCAACACTGCACGGAGATGCTAGCAGATCAGGAAGCTAACAGCAGCAGTCACTTGACAGAGCTGTCACTCAATGTGACCACGCCCTAATTTATGCATAACTTTAAGGCTTAATATAACTTAAACTAATTATAAATGGTAGTAACTCATTAATAAATGGTGATTTGTTTAACATTTTACAATACAAATTTAAAATGTAAAATGGTTGTAACTCATTAATAAATGGGAATGTGTTTTACACTTTACAAGGCTCCCTTTTAGCAAATGTTAGTAACTCATAAATAGATAAATAAAGATATCCCAAGAAACATCAAGATGGAAGGGGGGGAATCAACTCAGTGAACAACAGATACCAAGGATGCTGGCTGATGAAGAAGACAAAGTAAGCTAGGTAGCCAATATAAGGCTTAGTCATCTTGCCAAATAGTGAGCCTGTGTTGATGTATGAAAACTATGTTAGAACTGGTTTATAAATGGTTCTTAATGATTAATAAAGTGTCTACAACCTAATTAATGACCTAATTATAAACCCTTTATGAATCCTTTATAAGGGTAGTCTTATTGTAAAGTGGTACCGAATAAGGATAAAATGCCAATACCATGGAACACCTTTTACGAATGCAGAAACAACTGATTACTAGGTTAACGTGTTTGTAACACTATAAAAGCAACATATTTCTAATGGAGCATATATGGAGAATAAAGTGTGGAAGTAATATCCAGGAATGTTCCAAATTGACATATTAACATGACATTACATTATAGGAAAGATGTCCTATGTTACTCTTAGTAATTCCTCCATTTAACAAATAAATCCTGTCCACACAAGCTCTTTTGAAAAAAAGTAGTTACTAAAAACAGTTTCTTTGAATCTTAACCCTGGAAGCAGTTTTCTGACCTATAACAGCTTTTGGGTGTGAAACAAAGGCCACAACACATAAACAAGACAATGCTGCCCTTACAAAAAAAATACCCATTTAAGTGTGGACTAGGCTTTAGACTTTTCATGCTCTTATCTTTTTTGGAGAACAGAAATGAGCTGTAGTGGCTCCAGGTTCACCAGTGTCCACTCTTGCACTCAAAGGAAGATGTCAAATACTGCGCCGGTACAGGCTAAATGTCACACTGGGTTTAGAGGAATTTTAGAACAATGATCGTGCTGAAAGCCTGGTAATAACATCTCTCAACATCGTGCCAGGGGCTCTGCTGACCCTTGGCAATGTCCCCAGGTTTCCATCCACTGCCCAGAACAAAACAACAGATACAGCTTTATTTATAGTGTGTGTCAACAAGTACAGTTGGAAGGGTCAGCGTCGGGGCGTCCCTGTGACTCAGCAGGATAAGACGCCTGTCAAACTGTGCGTGAGATACTGCAAGGGCAAGGCTGCTTATTTTGTAATCATACTTCAATAAATTGCTTTGCATGTAACTCATTACCCAGCCCTTTTAATTCAATGTTTCTAATTATTTTCTCGTAACAACTGCAAAGTGACCAAAATGCATTGACACTAGGATATATTTACACCCATATATAGGCTCTCAAGCAAAACAATGATCATTAATGTAGTGTTGATTTTTACTTTAACCCATTACATATATTTTCCTTCAGTTTCTACAGTGCATAACCAAGGTTTTACGTTACAACTTAAAGATGTGCATACACAATGACATTATGCTATCATTTAGCAATAGAAAGCAAAGTATGAGCATATAGAAATAAGGCAATAGTTTGCAATGATTATTTGTACAAAGAGAAAGAACAAAAACACACAGAAGAAATTTAAAAAAAATTAAGTAATAACAAAGACTAAAGTAATCCTCCTATATTCCTAAATCCCCTTTCAATTTAAATTATATGGGGACATTTTCTGTAGATGCACAGTGCTTTTGGTCCCAGTTTACAGACAGGTGCATACATACACATTTGTCCGGTCCTAATATACTCCTCTAGCTGGCTATTCATCAAAAAGAAAACATGGCTGACAGTATGGTAATGTTCGGGTTTTAGCATGGAAATAAGGATGAACTCTGGAAGAAGATAATAAGATGCCAAGTAGAAAGCAATCCATCAAGTAAATCCCCAAACAGCCATTTCTGCTTGTTATATCAACATTGGAGATGGAGCTGAATGAGCGTTTATTTACAAAGTGCTCTCATCTATCAGCTAAGTGGAGCACTTGGTTGTTCAAACAAGTTTGTATTAATCTTTTAGGATTTGTTATCCTTTTCTTCCTCACAATTTGGAACACCTATTTGAATATGTACTGTGGTTTTTGCCCCTGTGAACTAAACTCAACTGTTAGCTGTGAAAATGAGGATAGCCGTTACCATGCTAACATAAAATAACTTGCTTGTTTATTATTGTTGCACTGAAGTTCAGCCTTATTGTTTGACAGAATTACCATTTTTGTTTCACCCTAAACTATTAAGGTATGTGTTCAACAACATTTTCAGTGGAAGCTGTGGTAAAGGTTTTATCCTCTATTGCTGGCTACTGTAGCTAGTGAGCTAGCTAGTTATGGTTGGAGTTGACAGCCTCAAGACCAACCAACAACAACATATAAATTATATATCGTACTAGCCTCCCTATTTCCTATAGAATCTTTGTGGCTCCAAGTCAGCAATTTAAAGCAGGAAGCATGCATGCCCAACAAATTATTTCTCGGGAGGATAATCCGGAAATACTTTGTTTAGCTATAGCTTGGTGAAAAAAAAGTGCTTGGAATGTTAGACTTTTTTCAGGCTTTTTAAACTGTTGGGCTTTCATTGTTAGTATGTACCGCCATTTACAGTAGTAGTAAAACATTTTGTGGTACAAAATAGGTGAGAACTATAGAATGTGTCACTCTTTGCACTATTCCTTTAATGCAGCCTTCAAATGTGTGTGTGTTTGTGGCTAGGTTGTTTCTTTAACCTAGGAATTCACATCACTAGAGTTGTGAATCTTGAACAAATTTGGAGATGTGTCCAGCACAGTAAAAAATAAATAAAGCACTGAGGTCATCCCTATGTAGTTATTTTTCTCACTACCTACTGATACAAGTTGAGTTCATCCTTGTGTTTGCAACCTGGGTTGTACACAACCACCTCAGAGGAAAACAGGCTTCCCTCTGCTGCAGACTTCTTCGTCTCATATCTCTTCACACCGTCGACTTGTGCGAACGGGAACATTGATGTGAAAGGGGATGGAAGCTGAAAATAGCTCCACACTGCTGCCAGTGGCAGTTCTAGAACATTTTACATGGGGGGGGCAAAGGGGAGGCAAGAGGTCATGCCAGGGTGGCATGGGAGGGCGGGCAGTACGTGGTATTTTATACTGTATATAACCTATTTATTGTTAATTCATGCCCTAACACAAGTGTTCTTATGCACAAGAGAAACAAGGTGTTCAGACAAACAATCGGGTGCCCTTTGAGTCCCCCAAGCTTACCTCAACCATTTTAAATGAAAGGAAACTACAAAATGTATTTTAAAGCAATGAATTAATGAACAGGTTGTTTTGCATTACAATTAGGGCTGGGACTTTAACGCGTTAATTAAGATTAATTAATTACACAAAAATTAACGCGTTAAAAAAATTAACGCATTTTAATCGCACTTATTTTTGCACCGCGGAACTTTTCTCACTGGATGAGTTTCAGGCGTACCGATTATACTGGAGCACCAACTAACGTTCATGACTTCAGACAACAACAAACCACAGTGAACAACAGTGGGATATGTTGTTTTAAAAAACGGACGAATGGAAGCGTCGATAAGAGCACGGTTGTGTGCAAATTATGCAAAAAGGAATTCGCATATCACCGCAGCACATCAAGCCTCAAGTATCACCTCAATGCAAAACATATAGCAGCTAGCGTGGAAGCTAGCGTGGACGTTAGCCTCTTTTATCGCGTTCACACCAAAAAGAGCCGGTACTAAAATTAGTTCATGAGAACCTTTTTACCCCCACGAAAGTCCCTGCTAGAGAGCAGAGAGCTGCTAGAGAGCAGGGACTTTCGTACGGCTCTCTTGTGAGAAAAGAGCTCTATTTCTGATTGGCTGGGCGGATTGCAAACCACGCCCCGTAAAACTCCCAAAACGTTTTGTGAATTTTATT